GACTTCTGCATGAGGACGTTCTTCGAAATCTTGAACTATGATCGTTATCTCTACTAGGCCATGTAGGTGGAGGGCCAAGGGGACTTTGTAAGGTTGATACAGGGGATGCAAAGGGCTACTACATGGATTATAGGTATTATTAACTTACTGACTGAGCCCCCCTGACCCTCCAAGTAGGGGTTGTTGCCGTTAAGGGTAGTGTTCCAACAGTGAGCCGGCCCTGAGATCCAAGGCCCCAAGCCCTGAATTCCAAAACTCTGAGACACCAAGCCCTGCACCCCAAAACGAAGAAAACCTAAGTCCCAAACCTTAATCCCCAAGCCCCAAATCTCAAAACTCAAACTCCCAAACTTCCTCCAGGAATGTTGTTGCATCAGCAATCATGGAGGCCTGGAACCTCGATTCTCATGTTTGTGCTGCCGCCGCACCTACGACAAGAAGAAGTAAAACCAGCAACCCTTTAGGGTATAGTCCCCCTTAAGTGGGGTATATGGGGATCCTATTACCATATACCCAAAGCCATATTCTATCTACTTAAGGGGGACTATAAACACCTTAGGTGGATTCTCCCCTCTGTAATAGTGACTACAAAGGAGATTGGTGATTAGATTAGGGTCCTCTTTTAGTCCTCCTAGATTACTCTTATAAGGTGGGGGTTGTATTCAAAACTGCCATAGCTGGACCCTAGTTTTAGAAGCCATCCAGGTGTGACAACTAGGACCGGGCCGCTATCATAGGGTTTAGGGCTTAGGGTTGAGTGGTTTAGGGTTTAGGGCTTAGGGTTCGAGGGTTAACGGTTTAGGGTCTAGGGGTTTTGTGTTTACTGTCGGGGTGTATGGTTTAGGGGTTGAGCATACATTTCTTGGCCCGATATATCTACCTTCTGACGGTTGGCTATAGTAGGGGGCTTTAAATGAGCTATTGTCTAAGCCCCTAGTATCCCCCCTTCTAGAACCGCCTTTAAGGAGTTTAGACTGTAGCTGCAATAGAATATGCATTCCAGCTATTTGCTTTTGTTGTTTTTTGGGGGCGCGAGGTTTGATTCGGAGGCCGGCTGAGGAGCGCAAACAATTTGGGGTTTCTATGCGTAGGTGGTGGCCCGATACAGGCGCCTTTTTGTTCGAATGCTTCATCTAGGGTCTCTCAAAAGAATTTGCACTTAATGTCTGGAATCCACTCATTTGAGGGTCCCTTCATGGGCTGTTGCTGGGCAGCTTCGGCCAACAGAGTGCTGCTCACGCAAGACTGAAAGCGTCACTGCCAGCATGCAACACCAATTCCCACTTGGAGGTTCCTGGGCAGTTATGAGATTCAGAAGTGGTGCAAATTTGAATCGTATTTTGGGTGCTTGCATCCCTACCTATCACCAGCTACGAAACTCCGGTACATCTGTGAGACCACACGTCCGCCCAGCAGCGCTCATGAACCCCCAACCCTCCAAGATAGACCCCAAACTGCTACAAGCCTTAGAATTGGGACCACCAAGGAAGGGTCCCCTAATTGAAGCACGCCCCTACAGATTTCCTAGGGAACAGTTCTTATTTGTGCGATGGGAGCCCATAGGGGAGGCAATGCATACAAGTGATGTGGTCGCAACTACAGTATTCAGTGTACTGCGTCGCGTGTGTGGACATGCCAGGACAGTATTCCATATGTTTTTCCATTCCTCCCTCTACTGGCGGATTACCGGCCACATGTACTAGTGGCAGTTGCGACTGGTGTTGCTACTAGTTTATTGTTGGATGCCATTCTATATGCTTTTTGTGGCCGTCTCCCATGTCACTACTTGGAGGGTCAGGGGACTTGTCAGGTAGACGCACAATAAGGATAACTAGGTTACTGTGTGGTTTATAGGGGTTATTAAGTTACACCTGACCCTCCAAATAGTACTGCCATCGCTCTCACTGAAGGGCGGCGGCGGCGGAGCCTTCGCTACAGCATCGACCCGCCTGGACCTGTCAAAGTTGGCCTGGAGCCCGAGCGAAGAACCAAAGAATGCTATCATTCAGGGTTTTGGTTTGACTAGAACTATTATCTTCTTCCCCTCCACTACCAGCACCACTGCAACGAAATACTACTACTACTACTACT